TCTGTGTGTGTGATCACGTGTGTGTCTGTATATGTGTGTGTGTGTGTCTGTGTGTGTGTGTGTGTGTGTGTGTGTGTGTGTGTGTGTGTGTGTTTGTCTAGAAATCAGATTCTCCACACAGAAGCATTTAGTCAAAGTGTATGTGGAGAATCTGATTTCTAGACAAACACACACACACACACACACACACACATACACACACACACACACACACACACAAACACACACACACACACATACACACTGTCTGCAGTCTGCAATGGGCTGAAGATAGATTTATGATGAAATAGTTGTATAAAATATTAATATGAATAATATGAAATATTACTCACTCTGATTGAAGGTGCAATAAATCCATTAATTGGAGATAATGGTGGATCTACTGTCATCCCTCTGGCTGTGGTCTGTTTCATCATCATATTGGCCGTCATTATCACTTACAAAATGACTCCTTGTGGATTTCTGAAAAGGAAGAAGTTTAAGGTCGTCAGACAAAATGATGACGACAACAATGAAACAGAAAATGTGTAATTTCATTGTGGAGATTCTTGGGGTGCTCCTGAGAGATCAGTGAACTCCAGTAAAACCTGTACATGAGTCTCTGTTAGACTTCAAACCACTAAACCTCCCGAACAATGACTGTCAGCTAATGAGCTTTAACACTGTTTAAGTTTATCGCTATTTCTGAGAAATGATGGAATGTTAACAATCTTTTTGATCAGCAGATACATATTAAGTTGAGAAGCAGTTCTACAAAATCCAAACTGAGTTTGCTGTTGCACTTTTTTTATTACATTTGTGAAATGTCTATAATGGATGTTTAATATACAGTTGAAGTCAGAATTATTAATCCTCCTCAGTTATTAGCCCCCTGAATATTTTCCCCTAATTTGTGTTTCAAGAGTTCACACTTAGATGATGATTTATAAAAGCTCGTTTGGCATGCTGTCCCGGGAGAGAGCCCCGAGCTCAAGGGCTCCTCGAGCCAGGGGCTTCCTCCTGTTGGCAGAGCGAGAGGGGAGCCTGAGCTCGGTGGATCTCAGAACTCCCCTGCTGCGGTAGCTAAGGGAACACAAGGGGTTAGACAAAAGCTTGATTGTTATGTATGTTGAATGTCTTTGGATGGTGGGAGGAAACCGGAAAACCCGGGGAAAACCCACGCGGACACGGGGAGAACATACAAACTCCTCACAGAAACACCCACCGGTCCTGTGGAACCAGGGCTGGCAGTGTTCTTGCTGTGGGGCTCACAGTGCTAACCACTGGGCCGCCGTGCCGCCCAATCAGAGGTAAAGGAGGAGAATAGGGGAGGAGGGGGGTTTCTTCCAAACGAAGATAAAGTGAACTGAAAACTGTGGCTATTTATAGTAGCTTAGGGCTCATATGATTGGAAGATGGTGATTAGCAAATGCGAGACCGGCCGTGATAAATCATAAGCACGTGATCCTCTCGAAATTAGTTTATGAATAAACTTCACTTTATGAAAAGAAGATTTACACATTTCTAAACATATTAGTTTTAATAACTCATTTCTAATAACTGATTTATTTTATCTTTGTCATGATGACAGTAAATAATATTTGACTAGATATTTTTTCTAGACACTTCTAAAAAGCTTAAAGTGACATTTAAAGGCTTAACTAGGTTACTTAGGCAAGTTAGGGGAATTAGGCAAGTCATTGTATAACAGTGGTTTGTTCTGTAGACAATCCAAAACAAATATTGCTTTAGTGGGCTAATAATATTGACCTTAAAAAGGGTAAGAAAATTAAAAACTGCTTTTATTTTAGCCGAAATAAAACAAATAAGATTTTCTCTAGAAGAAAAAATATTATAGGAAATACTGTGAAAAATCCCTGATTCTGTTAAACATCATTTGGGAAATATCTGAAAAAGGGCCAACAATTTTGAATTCAACTGTATATTTATGTATATACTAACATATAATATTCTGTACCTGCACTTTTCTACCAGTGTGAGCAGTGTTGTTTTGTAGTGTGTGTTATTAAAAATAACAATGAAATGAATAAAGATTTGTTACACTATTAAGAATCTGTTTTATTTTTGCATAATATGGTGCGGGGCCAGGGCTTGACATTAACTTTTTTAATCACCAGCCACTGTGGCTTGTAGATTTCCAACATTACTAGCCACTCTGCATTTTCACTAGCCACACTTTTCTTGTTGGGAAAATATATTTTATATGCATACATTTGACTTTGACATGCTAAAATGACTTGATTTAGATGTTGTGTTATGAGCACATGCCTCCTCATTTATTTAACTTCTTGTGTGTATTGTGTATTAGCTTGCTCAGTGTGCATGAGCAAATGGGTTGTGTCGCAATGCAATCAGTTTTCATTTCACATGACTTTTTAGGGCTCAAATTTGTGTTGAATTTAAACAAACAAATT